TAACGATTTTATTTCTTTTAGATCATGAACTTAATTGCTCAACGGCAGCGATGCGTCACATTGGTTCATCACTTGTCGATCCTTACAGCGCTATATCGGGAGCTGCGGCTGCCTTATATGGTCCGCTCCATGGTGGTGCTAATGAGGCTGTATTGAGAATGTTAGAGGCAATTGACTCGGTCGATAATATACCAACATTCATTCAAGAAGTTAAACAAAGAAAAAGAAAATTATTTGGTTTTGGGCATAGAATCTACAAGAATTATGATCCAAGAGCAAAAATTATTAGAAAAATTGCTTATGAGGTAATAAACTTCATGTTGAATATTTGGGCTAGGTGCTGTGAAGAGGAACCAAATTGACTTTTTTTTTTTTGAGCTTAAATGCTATTATGTTAATAAAATTTTGTAGTATAGCTTTTTAATGTGTATTTTGTTATAATTGTTATAATTTATTATAGAATTTATAATATAAAAATCTATTGTCGCAAAAAAATTTTTTTGTTAAATTCGTCCCTTTTTTCAACACCAAGCCCATTTCATGATTTATGAATTATCTAACCATTTTCACATCTAGGTATTTGATGTCTGTGGTCGTGAACCTCTTATAGATGTTGCAATTGCATTGGAAAAAGCAGCATTAGAAGATGAATATTTTATACAACGAAAGCTTTATCCTAATGTTGATTTTTACTCAGGATTAATTTATAAAGCTATGGGTTTTCCAACTGACATGTTTCCTGTGCTTTTTGGTAAAAATTTTTATTTATACATCTATGTAACATTTAAATATTCGAATACTTATTTATTTGTTATATTAGCAATTCCACGAGTTGCAGGATGGTTAGCCCATTGGAAAGAATCATTAGAAGATAAAGATGCTAAAATTTGGAGACCAAGACAAGTTTATGTTGGTCCCAGTGTTAGATCTTATGTTCCTTTGGAACTTCGAGACAGTGATAGTAATATTTCGGTAGCAAAAGTACTGGTAAGTTATTTAAGTTTTGTGGGGCCGCATTGTCATTTAGTAGTGATTGCTAATTTTATTATATATCTAGCATCCATTTAGTAAGAGAACGTCGGTTGCCACATTTGATGACAAGATTGAATCAAAATTATAAACCAATTTTTCATGATTTTGAACATTTTTGTGAGAATATTTGTCACCACAAATTGAGTTTTCTATAATTTCTAACAAAATGATTTTAACTAGGTTATACATAATAACTACAACTTTTTTATATAAGTTGCTTTTAAGTAAAAATATTTATTTATATTCTAGATTTATTTTTTTATATTTATCCTAGGTTTGTTTCTTCGTGTACTTTAATAAATTTATGTTAATGTAAGCAAGGATCAAATTTTAAATTACAGAATACTACAACTCGTGAAAAGATTGAAAATACTAGCATGTTGAATTTTTATTGTCAACTATTACAAATTTTTGTTTAAAATTATTTTTAACGAAATTTTGTAATATAAACCAGTGTTGGTCAAATTATTGCTTAACCAAAAATTTGCTAGTAAAAGCCATAATTATGTAACTGCACTTATGGAGAAAGTTTGTTGTGGCAGCTTGAAGCTGAGGTTTTGAAGTATTTTAATATCAAATTTAAAAATTTTTTGTTTTTTTTTGTAAGCCTTTTTTTTGGAGTTAGGTTAGGGATATAGATTTAAATAGACTCCCAATCTCAGCTTCAGCCACCACAATAATTTTAATATACCTAAAGTTGGCACCTGCCTAAAACAGCTAGCAGGATGATCTAATTTCAGTCAGGTGTAACTTCAGTCACCTGAAGTTCCAACTTTAGTCGGATGCCAACTTTAGTCATTTAGGTCAAGTGTATATCGATATATCGATATGTTTTACGTAGGAATGAAATTATTTTGGATTTAGAATCCACATAGGTTGATTTCGAATATATAGGTTGTAATAAAATTTTAAATCGCATTCGAATTGTTAAGAAATTTAACATAGTAAAATTAAGTGAATTATAAATTATTCTATTACTTCGAAATTTAAGTCACTGGAAGATAAAGTTTATTTATAATGCATTACATAAATTCTTACATTTATAGTTACTAACCACTAACACAAAAATTCAATTTTTACATCAGTATTGCACACACTTTTGCGCCATAAAGAAACTAATAATTCACCAACCCCAACTCCAGGAGCAAAACGCAAATCAAACACGTTGTATAGCAGCGATACAACGGCTCAAAAGCACCTAAATCTTACCAGCACGAAAAAAGATGATAAAATCCGATTAACGAATAATAACAAACCGAAGGCAACGAAATCGCAGCGAAGAAATACCAGTATTAAAGCAATACCTCCTTCGGTATTAAGCGGTTTTTAGGTAGGGTTTAAAAAGTCTTTTACGAAATCAAAATTTATTCTAAACAAAACGAATATAAATTATTTTTTCTTAAATTGAATTTTTAAATAAATCTGAGTGACCCATACTTATAGTGGATTAATCTTCGAAAAACAACACGAAGAAACACGTCGCACTTGGTTAATTTAGGGTAAAAGATTTTTAGTTGTAGTAGAAAGATTTGAATATATAAAAGGGATGAAAATAACAAATAGTTTAAGAAAATCTATATTATAAAAATTTAGATGTTCATCACACTACCTGTTGTTTAACACAGGTCAAAACATCTAGTTGACTGTAATGTTTTTGCTCGAAAGTCGTTTTTGGTGAAAGATCCGGTACATTATCTCGCCTTAACATATTAAATGAATTTTCTAATAAGCGTTATTAAAGATATTAATCAAATGAAAAAATATCAACCTACAATTCGTTAAATACTCTTGACGATAATCTACTTAATTGTGTTTCATCCGGATACATGAAGCTATCTTGTCCACTTAGCTTTTTTATAACAGCTTCATGTAGTACACTTGAGGTTGAAGAGAATATTTATACGCATATTATTATAGAATACGCATTTTTCCCATTCTAACCATACCCTAATGGCTTGATTTCGGAATTTATTAGAGGAATCTCATCGACAGTACAAGAGAAATCTGGCCTTTGCTTTGTATTCTTGACACTGCAATTTAACCGTATATCATTAATAAAGGCAAAAATGATTCTTAAATATATTGACACGTAAAACACGCTACCAAATATATGTATTGATCTACATATTGCATAAATCGCATTCTTGATATTTTAACCACAAATGCATCAAAAAAAGTAACCCATGACCGGACACGGCTTTAGCCATCCCCAAAAGACTGGAATTGTTACATGAATTTTTGCTCATAAGTTGCGTAACAAACGAAATACTTGTCACAAGTAATAAGAGAACTTCTATAGTATTTAAACGAGATAAAAGACAATAAAGACCAAATAAAACGGGTATACTAAATTGTAGAAAGAAGCACTAACATTATTTGTTAAAATATTCGAGTGTTTTAAAAAAAGTGGGATGGGTTGGTCATTTTACGATGGGTGAAAGGTAAATTCGAAAAGAAATCTTCAAGTTAACCTACTTCTTATTTTTAGGGTTCCGAACATTTTCGTTTAGTACCCCTGACGCGATTAGCTAGTAGGTTTTTGAGATATAACACCCGGTTATAATCACCGCTGGTTATAGTTAGTAATATTCTTTATTAACTAGGAAAACAGGTACTGTTGTAGAATAAAAAAAAAAATTGTCCAATCATATATATGATTGGTCACTTGGGGTCAAAATTCTGCTCATGCCTCTAGTATATGCAGATCATCAGCCAATCACAATTTAGTCACGTTTCAACTCCAGATTTGCTCCAGCATATTTTTACCTATTCCGACTTGGATTGGACTCACTCCATTCCATTAATTAACAACTCTAATAAAACCCAATATAAACCAGACAATTATTGTGCATTTAGGAAATATTACATTTAGAGGAATGCATATAAAGAGGTCTGACTAAGCTAGAAGTTGACCAGAAATCGGCTAGTCATTCATAACAATGTAAATAACCATTAGTTGGCTAATTCAGATGATAAATTGGCAAATAACGAATATAAAATATGATAAGAAAAGGAAATGATTAGATGTATAGATAACCAACATAAAATGCTAACGTGCCGGAATTTCTCAACAAAAAAAATTAAAACATTCATATTATAAGGAACTACCTTTTACGTTTATATGGATGTGAAAAAGGTCAGCCCGGCCGACCGACCCAAACTTTTTTAAGATTGACCCTAACCCATGATTTTTTCATCACCCATCACTACCCCCGAATATTTTCATGTAATCTGTATAGCGTTCACCTAACTCCCCTTCTTGAAATGTTACAACAGAACAGTACCCGTCATGTGACGCTAACATAAGAGAATTTCCATCTGATGACCTAATAATATATGTATCAATATAGTAGATTATGTTGACAATCAGAAAAGAAACCAATACTTGAAAAAATAAGTCACATTACCAGGACATGTCAGAAAATGTTGCAAAATGTAAATTGGTCGCTATGACCAAAGGAGCATACTGCTCCGTATCATATATAAGCACAGAATCTTGAGTTGCCACTGCATAAATTATGCGGTATGGTAAGTCAAATAAAGGTGGTAAATGAACATTAAACGATTTATCACTATAAGAATTGTCAGTAATAAAGTATTCTGATCTCGTTTGCAATGCTGTAGCATCAATTCGTGGTTGAAAATTTTTTCGGGGAAACCGTAATTTATAAAAGATATGATTGCATTTTACAACAACAAATGGTTTCTTCTGCCCCGGTAGAAAAGCGATCGGTCTAACGTAATAAAATAGTTTACAAATTCAATCATAAGATATACTAAATAAAAACAAAATGTAAAATATGAACTTACTTGTTTAGTTTATTTCGAGCAAATAAGTAAACAGTATTTAGAATTGTTGTGTCAACTTTATGATTACTTTCATCTTTATCACTTTTATTGTTTATCATGTCAATCATAGAATTATAATACTGTCCGGCCGGCGTAAGTAATAATCCACCATCTGGTGTAAAATCCAATCGTCTAAAAAAGGTATTTATCATTTCGTCACAATATAGTCGAAAGTGCTTTTTAAGCTGCTTTGGTACAAATGGTGTCGCTGGCACTTGTGAAGGATCATTTTTTATGCTTCCAGGACACTCTATAGTGCTTGATATGAGATTAACGCCACCTGAAATATCATTTACGGCGGCGATCTTGGATTCAGAATTTGCAAGCACTGCAGTATGGTTATCACTATTACATTTATGCTCGCTCAAATCATCACATGTTTTGGTAGTGTCTTTTAAAGGTTTTTGACCTTTCTTGCTTATGATTTCAATTTTAAAGTTTTTGCTAACGAGAGTCGTTTCAAAGGTACCATTTGAATGAATATTATACGAGTATATATGAACAGTTCTAAGCAAAAATTGTAATCAAATAAACCATTATAAAAGCACGTAGATGAAAGTTCAAACGAAAAAATAAATTAAATACCGGTCATTGCTTTGAGTAGCAATATATTGACAAAGTGGATCCCATGCAACACCTTGAACATTACGAACATGATCCATCAAAACACATACACACTTTGCTAGACCATATTTTATTATTAGATTTATAAAGTGTAAACAATATTGAAAATTTTCATAATTAAAGTTTACCTTCTTTCACACGCCATATTCTGGAACCACCATCCATGCATGCAGCAACGATATATTCAGCATCCGGAGACCATGCAATGTCTATGATTTCACAGGGAGAACCCCTGTAATCAGAAACGTAAATACCAGCTAAAAACAAAAATTGATTTGAATTAAATTAACGTATTATACCATAATAATGAAATGACCTTCCAAGTTTCACTATCCTCTGATGTGTCATCATCAGAATCATCCCCAAAAATTTTCTTTGAATCTTTATTTTCCATAAGCTTCCACAAGCAAACAATTCCATCTGTGTAGTTTAATAAATGAAATTATTGCATCTTATTTTATTTTTAGCTTAGGCAATTCTAAATAAATATATATTTGAAACGTAATGTATAAGTAAACACATACCATCACCAGCGGATGCCAGAAGCTCACCTTAAAACACACAAATTTTGGATTTGGTTAAAATTTCAATTGTTAGAAATTACGCGTTAAAAATTGAAACTAGCACCTTCTTAGTGATTGAATAATACCTTTAGGAGAGAATCTGGCCACATTAACGGGCGCCGTATGGTGTTTTAAAGTTGATAAAAATATAGCCTGAGGCAATTCCGTTTGGGTTTTAACAAGTTTCCACATCTATTATCAATGTAATATATATGCCTGGTTTAAAGTGAAAATACGCCAGTATTTTTTTTTAATAAGTTACTTACCATGACTCTATAGTCCATACCTGCAGTTGCAAACCTGCCGGTTCCCCCTGGCTGAAAATGGATTGAAAAGATTGGTAAGGAATCTTTATGCCAATGAATCTGAAATGTTTTAACTTTCATCCTTTCTTTATTATTTGACGCGTCAAAGCTATTGTCTAAGTATAGTTGCTGGTGAAACTAAATAATTCTGGTGAATCTGGTGACTATCTAAAATCTATTAAATTTCAACAGTTTCTACTCGTGACACACTGCATTAGGGCTTGTGCAAATTTGCAATTGCAAAATCTGCATATTTAATAACAAGTTGTGCGCCTGCCCATGCGCTGGGAGTTTTTTTTTTATCATATTAGCCAATTAGATTTCGAGATCAGGCTAAGCAAATCATTTTATTTTTGTTAATGTGATAGAATTATAAGATTTT